GTAAATTATCACTTCAGCTCTACCTCTGGCCTTGCTTTTTCCCTGGTTCCCAGATGGGTCCCAGGAGCCTTCAAAGCACCTGTTGGCTTTGTAGCTCACCAGCGCCTCCGTGTGGTGGGTTCCGCTAGCAAGGTGGGTGGGGAGGGAGGCCTTCTTCCAGTCGCTGGCTCCTTCTCGGGCCTGGGCTTTACATCACTGAAATGGAACGTTCCCTGGCAGCACTGGCAACCTTTCAGGAAGCTAGCATTCTGGAAATGCTCCACCCCTTTCCTACAAAACCAGCCCAATCTATCTAGAAAATCTTTCCTTGGCTGCTCCCAGAACAGGGCTGATGGAAGATGGATTTTACCAGTGCTGTCTTGTTGGTGTTTGCTGGTTGCTGTGTTCAGTAGCTGGTTGACACACTGCCCTACCAACTCTGCCCTCAGCTCTCACCCTCCTGATCCTGGACATGGTCTTGGAAAGCAGCTCAGTTGCAAGCTCTGAGGATAAGGCTGCACGGTACACAAGTAGTGTACAGGTACCAGCTGCAGCTCCCTGGTCACGTATATATTTAGAAGTTCACCTGAGGCCAACAAGATTTAGAAGCAACTTTCCAAATTACCAGCTGAGGCTGCAGGCTGCTATTTTAATTTACTCCCTCTACAAGCCATGAGCACCTTTTTGTGGTGTCTTCTCTCCCTGGACTTCATGCACAACAAAATTCGCTCTATGTTAATGTAGGTCACAGCCCCATGACCTGACTGATGTGCATTTAAACTAGTTTTCAAATAAATCCACATCGGACTTGAGAGGATCTATTTTTATTTTAAGTTGCATAGTCCTAGCAAAGAAATAAGGGTTGCGGATACAAATTGTGGCTTTTTCAGTTGCTTTAGCCAAGAAGAGAGTTCTGGGCTTCCTCAGAGCCCAAAGGCTTCTTTACCCATTTCACTAGCACAGCCAAGACCTCAACCTCCTGGCAGTGGGTATGAGAGTTTATTTTCCTGGTTGTTTTACATTTATAGAATTGCATTTCAGTATGAAGTTATTACTGTACAGTACTTACTAATCTTAGACACATGTATAAACTACTTTATTTCTATAGAAATATTTATGCTACCAAGTTTATATTGTTGTCAGGCATTTTTATAGGAAATGAGATCCATCTTGTAATTTATTTAAAGACATGGATTTGATCATTTCAATGTAGCTTTAGTAATAACCTCAAGAAATAAATTTCCACTTTTTTAATCTTGGCCCTGAAAATCACCCATGTTTATCATATGATAATCAAATTTTAAATGTTTGAACTTTATTAGCATATTGAATTTTTCATAAATAAGGTAACAACACCTGTAGCTATGATGCACACTATACACATGTGTACATACATACATACTTACTCTACTATTTTCTGAAGAATAGAACCCCTGCTTTACATGGAAATTTTAATGAAAGATAATTCAGAAATATCTTTAAAACCTTATAGAGATTTTATTCAAATTAATGTTTTTCTTTCTCAGAAAAGAAATATTGCTTGACTATAATAATAGAATTACCTTGATATTAAGTATTTTACTTAAAAAATTAATGCACAACAGTTATTACTAAAAATAGAATTTTAGAATTTAATGAGAAAATTCTCCTAGGCTTTTCTGGAAGCTGTTTTATTGAAGTACAGGAATTATTAAGTAAACTTCACCCTTGTGACTTGAGAATGAATTGCAGTTTCCATCCAGATAATATTTTCATGAAAAACAATGCACTAAAAAAGTGACTATGTATACTATTTAACAAACAATAAAACAAAATTATTATTGTTTTGTTATTTTCCATTTGAATGACTCAATATTTTTTGTTGTTGTTGTTCTCCTGTGTTCTAGAAAGGCATACATGAGTGGAATTTTAGTGCTTCTTCTATCAGGGGAGTGAGGTAAGTTTCTTTGGTATGTTTTATTTACTTATAAGGCATTTTTCAGGAATGTTCATAACCTGGATAGGACTTTTAATCATGATTTTTTTTTAATGCAAAGAAATTCAAGAATCCTTCTATTGGTGGAAATACTCAACCTTTTTCAGTTGGTTCCGTCTTTTTTCCATTATGAAAAGATTTGCAACAAATGTTCATTGTTGGTCCAACTGATTGGTACTTTTCACCTACAAACAAATATGGTGACTATGGGGTGAATGTGAACTATGGACCAGAATCAAAATGTAGATAAAACTGAGTTATGTGAAGATCCTCTTTGGCTGGCTGAGCTGTTGATTTATTTCTAGGATTGTTTTCTGTCCTTTTGATATACCAGGAAATACTCTCCCCTTGAACGGATCCAAAGCACACATACCGCATCTACCCGCTGTGTCCTGCAGCTAATATTAATGATGTGAGATTACAGGGGATCCATTTTTTAAAAGCTTTGCCTAAGGTGTTCCTGCAGTGCTCTTGAGATTACAGTGGTGAACTGCAGTTCATTTCAGTTCTGACATTGCTGTTATAATGCCAGTGGCTCAGAAAATGCCATTTCTTGAGATTTAGAAATAAGATTATTTTCAGAATTGAGTCAGTGGTTAAGTGTTTAAATATTTGTTGTATAGAAGCTCATCCTCTGGCATATGAGTCAAAAAATAAATAAATAAAAGGAGGCTCATGCTAAACCAACTCTTGAAAATTTCAAGCCAAATTAGTTGTGTTTACTGCTATTTATCCCCACATAATAGAAATGAGAGACAATAGATTTCTGCAGGCCAGTTATGCAATATCCTGTTGCTTTTGGAATAATAGTAATTGGTTTTGTTAGAGCATGAATTGGTAGAGCAGTCTGAGTCACTAATAATTAGAGTTTGCTTGGTATTAATAAAACTACCTGTTACCTCATGAATGATCTGAACAGAAACAGTAGGATTAGGGGCTGACTCATTATATATCTTTCCAATTGATACCTTCTCAAATAAAGCTTTACTTCCTAAATATTTATATTTTAAAACTAGTCATTAGCAAGGAACTCATTATTTATTGCCGCACTTTTAAGCAATCCATTTAGGAAAGTATGGTAAATGTTAATTTCACTTTATCACATCATTTTTCCAGTGAATTATTAATAATTTTCTTTAATTAGACATGGTAGCCCTACATAGCAGGTGTTGTGATTTATAGCAAATACATAGAATGCCTACATCTGGCTATTGCTGGTTTATATGTTAGGAAACTTGAACTCTAATCTGTGACTTCTAAGAGAGTTAATTTTTCCTGGCTTCCTCCTCCATGAAGCAGAGATGACAAGCTATGGAATACAATCCAACTAGGTTAGCAGTTTGTCTTGCATCACCTCAGAACTTGCTCAGCTCAAATCAGTGGACATTTAGAGAGCACAGCTATGTGTCAAATGTTGATTCCTACTCTGCTAAAGATACAAAAATGACTAAAACATGAACCCCTCTCTTGAAGAGCTCACAGCCCAGAAGGGAGGAGAACAGACATTTAAGAATTAATGATACTACAGTATGAGATGAGCAATGATAGAAGAATATCCAGAGAACAGAAGTGCAAAAGGAAGTCTTTCTTTTTAGGGTAGAATTAGGGCAGGGAGAGAGGGTAAGGTCTAAGCTGGGCCTTAAAGATGAATAGAATTTTTTTTTTAAATAAAAAATGACATGTATTCCAAATTGAAGGAATAGCAGGCACAAAGGCATAAAATCAGGGTTGGCAAACTATGAGCCATGGGCCAAACATGACCCACTGCCTGTTCTTATAAATAAAGTTTTATTGGAACACAGCTATGTTCACTCATTTATTTGTTATTGAAGGCTGCTTTCAAGCTCCAAAGGCAGAGTTGTGTAGTTTGGCCCAGAAAACCTAAAATATTTTACTATCTGGCCCATTACCAAAAATGTTTGCCAACCCCTGGCATAAAACAGCACGGCCTAGTTGGTCAACTCAAAATTGTTTCATATTACTCTGAAGTAAACCACTTGCTGAGTCCAAACGAAGAGCTATTCCCCATTTCTTCACTCCTTCAAAATCTCTATAACTAATGAGATGCTTTTACTGCCTCCACAAATTGCCTTCCTAGCTTTGGAAACATTTCATTTTTCTGCAGATCTGGTAAAGCCAGAATCACCAAGGTAAGCTAGCCAGTTAATATTTATGCTTTTTCTCCCAGCATACAGATCATTGCCGTAGTGAACAGGACACCTTTCCGTGCTCATTAGAAGGGACATGTAGCTTATATGTGCCTGTAACTCCCAGAGCAGCCCTACTCTGCAGATATGAGTAGGAGGACAATTCTCAGAAAAGTAAATAATTTTAGTATTATGGTGCAGGAGATGTTACTTTTTAAAGTGTTATTTATAACTTTTTGTTATAAATTTATTTATAAAGTTATTTATAACTTTTTGTTATAAATAACACTGGTATGATAATTGGTATTGAATATTTAAAAGTATTTAATTTTCATTGCAGAACCATAGAAGAATTGCTATTTGCCTGAATAATGCTTTTGTTTGTTTCAGTATTTCTAAATTTGAAGAACGATGCTGTTTTCTTTATGTGCTTCATAATTCTGACGATTTCCAAATCTATTTCTGTACAGAGCTTCATTGTAAAAAGTACGTATTAGTCATATGTGTGAAAAAGATTGTTCTTACCTGATCATTATTTTCAACTAATGAGTACACATGTAGCTCCTCTGGAAAATTCATGACTGTGTGGTTATATTTATATTTTATTTGAGCTAATATTTTATAATTATGTGGTATGTTTAACAGTCAATATTTTGGGGGTTCTCTTTAATAGATCAAGCTTTTTCTTAGTCATAATTTATTTTCTCACAGATAAAACATTAGCCAAGACTTATTGGTTAATTGTTAAATATTATGCCTCATTTTTAAAGTGCTCACTTATTATATATGATTACCAAAAATTTTCATTCTCAAATTCTTTTGAATAATCTCACAATTGTCTACAACAGTGGTGCTTAACCATTCATCATATTGGAATTCCCTGGTGAGCTTTTAAAAAAGTATCTGGGCCCCATGCCAGACTAATTATATTGGCTATTCTGGTGGGGGCAAGCCTGAGTTTAGAGCCAATGTTCTGTTCTATGCTAATACAAACAATAATCCAAAAATCCGTGGTCTGTATTGTATGTTTGCATTAACCTCCCTAGGTATGTTTCTCTATTAATACTTAATATTTCTTTAAAACACTATGATTGACTGTGGGGAGCTAGAAAAGTGAGTGGCAATTTAGAAGTCAAAGTATAATTGAAAGCCAGTTTGGACTCAGAATTTTGCTGGGGGTTGTTCTTATTCAGTGGAGGCTGTTGTGAGCTGTGACTGCACCATGGCACCCCAGCCTGGGTGACAGAGCGAGACCCTGTTTCTGAAAAAAAAATATTACTATTTGACACCAAAGTAAATGACTGATATGCTAGATACAATATATAGTCATTCATTTTTATCTTGGTGTAAAAAAAAGTGAATTTGTTGAATCTGTAATTCTTGGCTAAAGTTTTATCTTTATTATCATAAGACATATGGCCAAAAAGAAAAATTTGGAAATAAGAAAGAGTTTTCTACTTACAATTGAATTCTCAAGGCTATTGATTTGTTTCTATGATGACTGTAACTAAGATTTATGAAATGCTTACCCCAGAACTAATATTTATTTTAATCTTCAAAGAAACCCTATTAGATGAGTAGTATCAATATCTTCATTGAAAAGAGTAGTACAAATAGAGTATTGGAGAGTTTAGCCTAAAATCATATAGTCAATAAGCATAAAAATCTGACATTCAATCCAGGCACACATGACTTCAGAATCCAAGCTCCTAACAGTGACACTGTGTTCCCATCCCACCGTAAGTTTTATATTCTGCTTACAGATATTCATATTGAAAAGTTTTACATGAATGGCTGAGGCAAGTCTGTCTCCCGGATCTTAAAGCTTGTCTTTAAAACTAGATTTTTTTTTTAGGTCTTTCACTTTTTCTTCCTTTTGGTTAAACTTGCTTTTGTCTCTAACTCATTATGCTATTTAATCTTCATTAGAGTATATTATTTCTCCAATCAGGCTTGGGAATTTTTTCTTCCTTATAATGGACTTCCAGGAAAGCTGTAGAGAGAAAGGAAGAGTGAGGAAGTAGATGCAGTGTGTTAACTCCATAAATAGGCTTCAAACTCTAAAATAGACTTTGCTCATTGTCATGTTTCCTATGGCCAGAATAGTTCTTGATCCTAGTGGATACTCAATGAGTATTTCTTGAATGTATGTATGTATGTATGTATGTATAACTGGATAGATGATGGATGGATGAAGGGATGGATCAGTGGATAGTTAGATAGGTAGATGACTAGATGGACAGATGGGTGGATAGAGGGATGACTGTATGGATGACGGGTGGATCAATAAAGGAATGATGATGGATGGATGGATGGTTAAAATGAGGTACAAAATAGGAAGAAAGATTCTGAGTTGTATTAGGTAAACTTTTCTTGTGACACCCATAAACTGCTCTTCCTTGGGCTGCCATTGCATAGCCTGAGCATAACCTGCCTGTGAGATCATCAACCCTTGTTCGTAGTGCTTCTACTTTATGTCTGTGCCCATCAGCGTCTCCTCTGAATGAACTAGCCACAGGCGGAAGGGGGCACAGCTGTTTCTCACTGTAATTATTTTGCTTGGCTCAGAAGTGGTCTCCAGGAAAAAAATGTTACAAGAAGAGTTTCTGAACAGAAATGTTTATTTTGTCACCTAAAGAGAGGTGGCTTCTATCACCAATGTGTATACAGTCAGCCCTCCATATCCATGATTTCCTCATCTGCAGATTCAACCAACCGCAGATTGCAAATATTCAGAAAATAAAAACAACAAAAAAGACTATAACAATAAAAATAATACAGTATAACAACTAAATACATAGCATATACATTGTATTAGGTATTATAAGCAATCTAGAGGACATGCATAGGTTTTATGCAGTACGATGCCATTTAATGTAAGGGACTTGAGCATCTTCAGATTTTGGTATCTGGGTGGATCCTGGGACCAACCTGCATGGATACTGATGCACAGCTGTTTAAGCCAGCCTTTCACAGACTGTATTTATGGGACCCTACATGTATGATATCCAGATGTGTAGGCAGCACATGTAATAACTGAGATCAAATGTTGTAGTGCCCAATGCTTATCAAATAGTCACTTCAGAATTCAGAGACACTATTCCAGAATATAGGTATTTTTGTGTCTATTTTAAATAATAACATTAACAGCAGCAAAACAATACTAGCTAATAATGAGTGTACTGTGCTAAGCGCTTTATAAGTTCTTATCTTAAGTTATCTTCCAAACAGTCTATGAGGTAGGCACTTGTATAATGAAGGAGAGGGCTCAGAGAGGTGGAAGGGCTTGCCCAAGATCACATGGATACTGATAATCTTGGTCTGGTATCCAAGTCCACATTCTTAATATTTCTATGACCCTGTCCAGACTCACTGTTCTAATTCTATAGCATACTGTATTATATTACTATTATTTGAAGTGAGGCATTAGGTCTGAAATTTCTAGAAAATCCTGCCAACCTGTGTTTTCTTTTTGAAAAATCATATTTTTCACACTAATCCTGATAGTTTGTTCACTGCCTGATTCTAGAGACTCTCTTAGCTCTCAATTTTTGTTCTGAAATCACTTTGGTATGTACTTGCTTATATTTAATATTGTATGTGTTATGAACACCCACATATCAACTTGCATTGTAGGTTTTTTGAAATGGTGAACACCATTACCGAAGAGAAGGGGAGAGGCACAGAGGAAGGAGAGTGTGAAGGTGACTCCCTGGAGGTAATGACTTCAGTTTGGGGCTCATTTTAAAAGAAACTATTTAAAATTGTACCGGGGTGGGGCAGTAAGGTGGGTTCATGGGTGTACAAGCAGTGGAGGGCCAGGGTCTGTAAGCTTTCCTTTAACATCAAAAACAACTTTTGGAATTTCTTTGGTAAAAAAGAGCTAAAAAGAAAACATTGGAGGACTGTATTCAGCAGTACTGAGGTTTAGTATTTTACTTAGCCGATAGTGAGTAACTATGCTTTATCTGTGAGTCTACCCTCAGTGCCCTTACACGTTCTCCATTCTCCTCTGAGATATGTGCAATTCATAGGAACAAAATTTCAGTGAAGATTCTGGATGATAGAGCCCTTTGTGGTGCACATTAACATGCTACACCGAGAACCTGAAACCGTGGAAGATTAATGAAATAGAGGAGGGAATAACAGTCACCCCAAATGTTGTCCATCTCAACTGGCATCCTCTTAGTGACGCCTCATGGACGTAGTGCACTATAGAATCTTACTTTCAGTTTGTGTCCATTTTCTTTGCTGTGTCTGCTGTGTGAAGAAGAGCCTTCCACCACTGCAAGGGCCAGTGCTGGGGTGTTGCAAGAGCGCTGACACTAGCACTCGAGCACCTTCAGTGTCTAAAGGACGACACTTCTCCAGGCATGATAGAGGGCCACCGTTTTCTACAAGCCCTTCCCAGTGTTTGACTTGGGACAGAACTCTGAATCCAAGTGTCTTAGTCCATTGGGCTGCTATAATAAAATACCATAAAGTGGGTGGCTTGTAAACAACAGAAGTTTATTTCTCGCAGTTCTGGAGGCTGGGAAGTGCAAAATCAAGGTGCCAGAAGATTCAGTGTCTGGTGAGGGCCAGTTCCTCATAGATGGTGCCTTCTTGCTCCCTCCTCACATGGGAGAAGAAGCTAGCTAGCTCTCTGTAGTCTCTTTTATTATTAAAACATGCCCCCATGACCTAATTACCTCCCAAAGACCTCACCTCCTAATTCCATCACGTTAGGGGTTATGATTTCAACATATGAATTCGGGGAGGACACGAATACTCAGTTCATAGAACCAAACAATAGTGAAAATCACACTTTTAATGTTAAAGTGAAATTGAAGAAAGTATGTATCAACAGTCTAACTAATATACTTATTTATTAGATCACTTTGGTAACGGTATCTCATAAACGCTAAAAATTTTTGCAAAATCATTGCATCAGTAAAGCAGCAGTTGAGGGGGAATTTAAATATAATAGCCAATTGTTAACTCTGTCTATAGTTAAGTTCTATAATTATCTAACAGTTGTATAGCTTTGATATTCTTATGTAAGCCTAAGGCTCTTGCATTAAAGTTATAAAAAGATGATAGACTTAATTTGGAAAAAAATATTCCTTGTGCATTAGCTTGCTGTCTATCAAAGTAGTAGATAATATTAATACTTCTTCTTTGTATATGTTTTGCATTTTCTTATTGAACTGATCATATTATGAATAAGATATCTGACCCCTATTTCATGCTCTTTTGACTATACCTTGTTATTTGTGTTAAATTTAGTATCACTTGATACATAACAATTGTCAGGATATGAGTTAATGAGAATGAAATAATTCTATCAGTAATATAAAATTATGAGCGGGATAGCCTGGAAGATCTGTAAAGTCTTGTACAATGTCATAAATTTCTGCCTTTTTTTTTTTCAATTAGAGATATCTATCCTTTGTTTCATACCCTCTTTTGAGGACCTAAATGCAGCTTAGCAAAAATGTGCATAGCCTAGCCAGGCTATGATAACCATATAGACAAGACGAGGTTGATCTTCATAATTGATTGAATCAACAGCGTGGGAATCTTGCTCTAGGAACTACTTTAACCATAAGCATAGCCTAACACAGCTTTAATTGCCTTAGAATTTGTGATGAATTTGGCCAGCTGATTTTTCTAAGCTTTGGTTTCCTATGATGTAAAGAGAGGGGAGGTAGCTGGCTTTTCAAAGAGCTAGCAAGAGGACCCAGGCCCAGATCCCCTAATCCATATGCAGTAGTGTGTGGAGCGGGCGTTGTGAGAGACCCTTCCTGATTAGGCAATTCTATGGCAAGCTCTGTGAACACTCGCCAACTGAATAATTAGGGCAATGCTAAGATTTCTTCCTAATAATATCCAGAGGGTTTTAATAGGTCTACTGACCTCACAAAAAACAGCTCATACAATATTGCTGTGGTTCATCAAAGTGCTCCTAACTAACTTGTCCTTCTCAAGTAAGGTCAGCGAAACTATTCTTTTAATGTTAGAAAACATTCTTACACTTCTAACTTTTGCATTTCATTAGAATAATTTAAAATCTCTAACACGGAATGGCTTCTGCAGTATTCCAAATGGACTTTATAGTCTATACGAAACATTCAAGCATACTTGTTTTAAAAGTTTTGTCTTAGTTTGCTCTTAGGCTATAGCTAGTGATGTTGCTGATTTTTTTTTTATGAGTGTCCTGTTAGCATAACATTAATGGATGGTTACAGTGATGTTCTGGGCTGGAGGATGGTGAGATCCATCTTGGCTCTCCCCTCTCCCTGAATGACGGTTCATACTCAGACCACCTTTACAATATGAATGATCAAACCTTCACTTACATTTTTGCATAATTTATGATAATGCTACATTATGTATTTGATTACATTTCTTAGATATTTTCAATATTCTCCATTTAGATTATTTTATCAGTATTCTAAATATTTGATTAAAATGAATTCTTTAATTTCACTATCACAAACTGAACTCAAACTTCAGCCCACGAATGACATACCAAAATTAATCCCTCTACTTTCCATTCTATACACTGTAAACAAGTCTGACTTTAGAGATCATCTTTACAGAGTGATTGTAATTTGTGTGTTAGAATAATTATTTTCTGATCTTTACCTCAATTGGATACAGAATTAAAATCGTGTTAATTTTTGCTGAAGCCTTTGGGTACATTGGCCTAAAACATAACAGAAATGTTGGAAAGATCAGATGATTGGGAAATGCTCTTTAATGTTTTTAACTTCACATAGGGTGGTGTCAAAGTCAGCAAACATTAACTATTAATGTGGTTTGTTTTATAAACCACAAATTTGAAATTAAGCTCTAGATTTCCTGGAATTTGAAAAACCTTCTTAGAAGACCAAGTGAAGTTCTGCTTTTCTTTCTGATTTGAATAGTAAGCTTCTTCGAAGCAGTACAGTTGTGGGAAGGATTCAGCCTCCTTCAGATCATGATCAGACCCTTCTTCCAACTGAGCAAATCTGGCTCTATTGAGAGCTCCGTGCTAGGATCAGGAGCCCTGAGTTCTGGTTCTAACTTTGCCAACAGTCACTTTATAAGTCCTGACAAAGTTCATGCTCCCACTGGACAAAGATGATTTCATTCCTTAAATTAGGCTTGAGTAAGATTTTTAATGTCCTTTCCTACCTCTAATTTTTTTTTTATGTAATTTTCAAGATTAGTACAAACTGTACAAGGTTATTTCAAGTATATCTCAATCCCACTTCTCAGAGAAGGGCATTTCTGTTTTTCAACAGAAAGAAAACAATTTGTTTTGATTCAAGGCCATGTGTTTTGACTCAAGGATATATTTTGACATGGAAGGGTTATGAACCCGTATGTTAAGTAATTTAATGTGTTAGTGAATTTATTTTGGAATCATAGAACAGTTGATTACAGTTAAGTACTACGGTTTTTACACTCATCAGCTGTGGTCTCTAATGTTCTTCCTGCCTTTCATATCTTCCTAAGTAAGGGCTTCTACCCAGTAGCACAGCCAGAAACTTCAGAGAACCCTCTGCCCAAGCCCCTACTAATCCCTCACGCCCCATCTTTCCTCCAGCCCCTTCCACTCATTGTCTTGGCTGCTCCCCGATCCCAGGTCTTTGTCATCTCTCTTGTGGCCTGGTGTTTTCCCTGCTCTGTCTCTATCATCGTCAGAGAAATTTCTCACACAGTTTATAATCCTGTGACTCCCCAAATTAAAAAGCTTTGATGCTCCTTCTTCGTAGAAAGGAGCATTGCACCATGCAATGTCTGTGACTTACCCTTTCCTTTTGACTCTGTGGTCCCGCAATGGCAAACTCCTTTCCAGATGGCCAAGGTTTTCCTACCTCAAAGCCTGACGTGCAGACGCCCAACCCCACGAGCTTTTCTGCTTTGTCGCACTTGGTGACCGAAGCCTTATTTTTTGAGATCCAGCTTGTCATTTTCTCTTTGAATAATTTCTCAACTCCCCTTCTCATTTTTCTCTGCTCTCTTAGCATATTCGCCCACTCCCCTGCCTGAGCTCTTCTCCTGGCATTGTAATTCAGTAGCTTCTGTTGGACTGTTAACTTCCCAAGATAGGACCGTGGCTTTATTCCCTGTTTAATCACAACAGCTCACATGGTGTCAGGCACCCAAGCAGAAGAAATTCAGTCAGAAGGCTTTGAAGGATTGAAGCTGAGGAGTGACAAAAACTGGAGTTGTTTAAACAATATCTCAAACTGGAGGAGAGGGGTATGGATTGGAGGGGGCGGAGTACGAGCTGGGAAACTGGCTTGCAAGTTGTTTAAGCAGTGCTAAGTCGATGAAAGAATGAATACCAGGATCAGGCTTAATGCCACAACAAAGCCACTGTCGGCCCATCCCCTTCTCATCTTTTTATTTCAGGGAAAAAAAATAGATACAAATGACAGAGGTTTTTTGGTGATTCATATGAAGGATGCTGTGTCTCCTCTGTTGCCCCCTCCCAAACACATATGCATTTTCCCTCACCCGCCCCCATCTTCTTTATTCCTTTTTTCCTTCCCTCCCACTTTTTCTTATATGCATTTGTACCTCATGTTTTTATCAAAATAGGACTTGGACTGCCACTTGGGACTTGGGACATAGGACTGCCACAAGCCCGCGGCAGTCAGAGCAGCTAGCTCTGTGAGCCTGTTCAACCGTAGTTTCTTTTTTTTTTTTTTGAGACAGAGTTTCACTTTGTTGCCCAGGCTACAGTGAGTGCCGTGGCATCAGCCTAGCTCACAACAACCTCAAACTCCTAGGCTCAAGCGATCCTCCTGCCTCAGCCTCCTGAGTAGCTGGGACTACAGGCATGCGCCACAATGCCCGGCTGATTTTTTCTATATATATTAGTTGGCCAATTAATTTCTTTCTATTTATAGTAGAGACGGGGTCTCGTTCTTGCTCAGGTTGGTTTCGAACTCCTGAACTCAAACGATCCGCCTGCCTTGGCCTCCCAGAGAGCTAGGATTACAGGTGGGAGCCACCGCGCCCGGCCCATCGGTAGTTTCTAATGTGCATAAAGAGGTAGTTGACCCCTCATGGGGTGTAGTGGGGACAGGCAAAATTAGAGAAACATCTTCGTTTTCCTCAAACATCTGCAGGATGACGAAAGACCTCACCATTTCCTTTTCTTGATGATTTGCCTCACATATATTAGCAAACAGTGACTTATGGTTTAGAATTCATTTAAATCAATTTGGAATCATGACATAGCAAACTGGTTTGCTTTCCTTTTAACATCCTATTTCTGTTTTTGTACAGATCTGAAGCTGAACACCCACATTTACCACACTGTCTGAGAAAATATATCACAGTGTTGCATAATATGTATATCAATTTGTTTTTCATTCATTCATTCTGTTGCAAGGGAGAAAAACTTTTTCCTCTACCAACTTATGTTTGGTGCTAGGGGGCCTGCGAATTAACTGGCAAAAGGCAAGTTAGCAGGAGAAGAGACAAAGTTTATTTACTTAGTCAATGTTAAGTCAATGAAAGAGACTTAACACACATAGAAGTGGCTCCCTAAACAACAAGAGTTAAGTGTTTATATATCATCTTTATAAGAATGAGGGTTAGGAGTTCAAGGGAAAGCAGATGGTTGGAAACTAATGACAAACAAGTGGGGAGAAACAAGTGGAAGGTACAGAAAGTTTTGATGAGGTTTTGTTTATGTAATTTCTTACCTGAGAACAAGTGTTGTGTCTCCTTTTGGGCTGTAAACCTCCTGCAGAGGGAATTTATGGCAGTTGTATTTTTAGGAAACTTTACTAAAGTCAGCAAGAGAAGTTTAGGTAAGGTTTTTTTCTGCCGCTACTATTTGTTCAGATGTTTTTAGCTTAAAATAATCTTCATTCACATTGGTGGGTCCAAGTGGATCTCATTAATTTGCTCAACAAATATATACTGGACACCTACTGTCTGGCAGGCATTATTCTAGGTGCTGGGAACACAGCAGAGAACAAAACAGAGAAAAAACCCTGCCCTCATTGAGCTTACATTTTAATAAGAGACCAACAATAAACAACGTGAATAAGTAAGATATAGAATATGTTAGATAGCGATAGGTAGTAAGGAGAAAAATTAAGCAGGGGAGAGTTTAGAAAGTTACGGTGTAGCAAGATATGCAGTTTTAGACGGAGGGAGAGGTCAGTAAGAAGGTGACATTTGAGTAAAGATCTCAGAGAGGAGACATCTGTGACACTAGATATTTGTACCTGCAGTGTTTGGGGCATTCTGTTAATGTAATTAATAGTTATTAATGGTTTTGGCATTTACATATTAGGAAGGCCATGCAGACTAAAAATTAACAAAGCTGGTCTTTGAGGTGACTACTCACCTAATGTAATTAAGTCCCAGCAGAAGGAAGTGCATAGCTTTTTATAAAGTGATTGTTTGTTTCAGTGTAGGTTCTTTACAGTACAAGGACTGAGTCACCAGTTTGTTGTTTGGCCTTGTCAATACTGTCTTCCTACACCAGTTCTCTTCCCAGCACCAGTGTAGATTGTTTTGGGCAGGCCACAATAAAGGGATGATTCTAGAAATATTCCCAGCATTGCTTCAAAATGAAATTGTTGTCTCCCTTAGCAACAACCTGCTTTGCTAACCTATTGCCATAGAAATAGAATGCAAACTATATAAGCAGTGTAATCTTACCTTCTATTTTGTAAAGCCTTCCTTTTTCCTCCCTCTTTTTTTTCATAGTTGTCATGTAACAGACCCTGCCTTTCTTGGTCGGTGGTCCAGGCTCTGCTCTGCTATTTCTGTGTGATGACACAGATAATTCTCTGTCGTTAGAGGCCAGACCAGTCTCCTGTCTCTTCCAGCTTCCCTTTAAGACTACCTTTTCCATTTACATCTTTATCTTGTAAGAATCGAAAGAAACAAAGCAGTAATTTCTCACTGAGATGGTTTTACCTAAATCCCATTGGTCTTATTACAAGTCCTTTCGATTTTTACCATGCCCCTTTTGTTCAACAGGAGTCAACTACCATACCTAATACACAATCTTTTTTTTTTTTAAAACCAGTCTTTTGATACTTTAGATTCCTGAGGGAAACTAAAACTTGAGCAGCCTCATCAAGGTTTCTATATTCTTCAGTATGCTATATAAATATACATGCTTTTTTACAACCAAAAATAAATGAATAATGACTTTAAGTGTTTTGTTTTGGCATCTGGTTTTAAAAAAATTTCTCGTCACATTTTCTATACCATGGTTAAGTAGTTAAGTGAATAATTACTGAGCATCTACGATAAGCCAGGCATTGCCAAGACTATGGGTAGAGCAATTAAGGAGGAGGTTCCAGTTCTTGAAGAATTCAGTGTCTAGACACGGGGCTGCAGACACGTGGGCAGGGCAGTCAGGGCAATGAACGTGTAAAAGGTGAGCAGAGCCCTTGGAAGCACATCAGACCAGAGCCTCGCACTGCTTTTGAGGGCCAGTTGGACAGTTCAGGAAAGCTTCCTTGAGCTTGGTTTTGAAGCTCGATGCAGAACCAGCTAAGTAGAAAAAGCAGTGTGTGTTCCCCACAAGAACCTCATGGCGAGTTCCCCAGAAGCAGGTGATTGATGAGAGAGCAGGTTGGATACAGAGGAAGTGATGAGATCCTGAAGGGCATTGTCTTAGCCCATTCAGGCTGCTAACAAAATACCTTAGACTGCGGCATTTATAAATGGAAGAGACACGTGGCTCACAGTTCTGGAGGCTGAGAAGTCCAAGATCAAGGCTCCAGCAGATTTGGTGTCTGGTGAGGGCCCGTTTCTCCAGATGTCACCTTCTACATGTGCTCACAGGGCAGAAGGGGTGACCAGGCTCCCTCAGGCCTCCTTTATAAGGGTACTAATCCCATTGAGTTCCGTGACCTAATCACCTCCCAAAGGCCCTACCTCTTGAAACCTTTGCATTGGGGATTCCAACATACAGTTTTGTGGGGAGGAGGAACACAAACACTCAGACCATACCAAGCTTTTGTGCTATACTGAAGAGTTTGGATTTTAGCCTGAAAGTCACGAACAGCCAATATAACAGAGGCAGTGGCACTGACAGGGAAAGCTCACTCGGAACTTTGGACTTTGGAAAGTTCACTGCCAATTTAATGGAGAGTAAATTGGGTAATGGGGTGACAAGAGGAGGTGACAAGGGAGGCCGGTTAAGACTTTAGAATTAGTACAGAAGAAAAGCATGATCTGAGGCAATAGCAGTGAAAATAAAGAAGAAAAATGAATTTGTAAGATTTTAAAGAAAAACCTGATAGCATTTGGCAATCAATTTGATATAGGGAGTAAGGGAAAGTAAAAAATGGATTCTAAGAGGGCAATGGCTACCAGATATCTGCTTGAAAAGGTGAGTGGATGTTCAGTGGCTATTGACAGCATGCTGGAATATCTTTGTAACACTGGTGTTTGGAAACAGAATTTATATTCACCTTATAAGCTCTTGTGCTATAATAGGGTTTCCCTATAGCATTGGTAGTGTGGAAAGGACACAAAATCTGGAATCTGATCAGCTGGTTTTAAACCACAATTCTGACATATTTTCACTGGAAAAAAATGTTTCTGATCATTTGTAAGTTGGAGGACGTAATCAGAGACATTCCCTACAATGACACAGGCTTATTATATGACAGTCAAGTGAAGTAGATTATTGAAAGTTGGGTTTTTGTTCTTTTAAATGAGAAAGCATTAGAATAATGTAAGGCAATGGTAGTATTAGGTTCAGTGTAGGGATTTCTGTTCCTTTGAGAGGGCACACTGGCAAAATTGGGCTTTCAAGTGATGGTCCCTGCTGGCAGAATTCAGCATGCATGGCACAGCTCTGCGGAAGTCCGGGCCATTGTTTGGACTATGCTTCCTGCCTCCTGGCAGGAGCCCAGTTTTATCTCTGAGTCATAGCAAATTGCTACATGATCCCTGCTGCCTGTGCCTTCACAGGGAACACCTGCTTGGTCATTTGCTTTGGGCTGGGACAGTGTTCAGCCTTACGTTGGGAAGCCAGAATAGGCGTGTTCTCTAATGTACTACAGGGTGCCCCAGCAGTGGACGCCACTGTTGCCACCAGGGAAGCAGACACCTTTCTTCCGGAGTCTGGCCTCTGTCCTGACTCAGAGAGGGCTCCATGATAGGGAGGGCAGTGTGCAGCCCAGACCTGGCATGATATTGGGCGTACTTTCCCCCAAGAGGTACCGCCTGACTACCTTCTATGAAGGCTTGGAAACCTGTTGGAAACCAATTACCTGGAGCTGGTAAGGACATGCCCCACACCGCCCCCATCCAATCTAGTCCAGCACGTGTGCCCTGGAGGGTTTGCAGAATGATCTGATGAGCTGGCTTTGTAGGGAATGTGTCCTTTTTATAACAGCTGCCTTTGATGATCTTCTCTTTGCCTTTCGTATCTGTAGTTTCCCTATATCATATCTGAGTGTGAATTTGTTTTTATTTATTTTTATTTTTGTGTGTGTGAATTTGTTTTTATTTCTATTTAGGGCTCAATTTCTGGAAGTTATATTTGATCCTTTCTCAAATCTGTCAGGTATTTTTAAGTAAAAAAATTTTTTTTAATTTAATTTAATTTTCTTTCTTGAGACAGAATCTTGCTCTGTCACCCAGGCTAGAGTGCAGTGGTGTCATCATAGCTCACTGCAACATCAAACTCCTGGGCTCAAGGGATCCTCTTGCCTCAGCCTCCCGAGTAGCTGGGACTACAAGTGCACACCACCACACCCAGCTGATGTTTTTTACCTTTTGTAAAGATGAGGTGTCTTGCTATGTTCTCCAGGCTAGTCCCAAACTCCTGGCCTCAGGCAGTCCTCTTACTTTGGCCTTCCAAAGCACTGAGATTACAGGAGTGAGCCACTGTGCCTGGCTTATTTTTTTTATATATACTTTTTAATTTAATTTTTCTTTTTAGAGACAAGGTCTCACTTTGTTGCTTAGGCTGGAGTACAGTGGCATAATCATAGTTCACTGTAACCTTGAACTCCTGGGCCCAAGTGAGCCTCCCATCTCAGCTTCCTGAATGGTTAGGAGTACAGATGTGTGCCACCACACCTGGCTAATTTAAAAAATTTTTTGTGTAGAAACAGGGTCTTGATACATTACCCAGGCTGGTCTGAAACTCCTGGTCTCAAGCAATCCTCCTGCCTTGGCCTCCCATGGTGCTGGTATTACAGGTGTGAACCACCATGCCCAGCCTGGTCTTTTTTAGAATGTCTTATTATTTTCTTACTTTAAAAATTTGTTATTTTTTATCTATGTTAAATGTACATATTTTACAGTTTCTGTTTTATAAAGTTTTGAGAATTGGTGTTTGTTACAGCTTTCACTGATGTTGAATTGTTTCCTTATATATTTTAAATTTTTTGGATTGTGCACTCAATTTCAGTGGTACTTGTCAGTGATAATCCTGCATAGCCAGTATTAAGGAGGTCTCCCTTTAAAATGTTTTTGCTTTGTTTCTGCCAGGCACTCCGGGGATGTCCCAGGCTCAAGCACAGTTATGAGTATTATGATGAGTGTACATTTGAACTCCAAACAACATGAGGATCAGCTATGTTTAAAAGTATTCAGAGAAGACTTATTTTCACACATCCAGAGCTCAGTCCAAAACAGACCAGCTTTCTTTTTGTTTCCCAGTGTAGTGGGCTGAGTTTTCTGATCTATCATTTCACCAAGTTGTAGTCCTTTGAGGGCCTGGTTCTGTGTGTGTTCCAGCTCTTCCCCTAGTGTAGGCACTAGGTCACATTTCCTATCCCCTATGGTCATTAAAAGCCAAGCCCCAGATGAGAGGTCAGCAAACTATGGCCCAAGGGCCAAATATAGCTCACCATTTATCGTGGCAAATAAAGTTTTATTGGAACATAGCCATGTCCTTTTGTTTCTGTATCGACTGGGCTGTTTTCACATCACAATGGCAAAATTGAGTACTTGCTAAAAAGACCTTACGGCCTGCAAAGCTGAAAATATTCACTCTCTGGCCCTTAACAGAGAACATGTGCAAACTCCTGTCCTAGATTCATGGAATTAAAAACCTCACCTTCACCCCAGTCTGGGCTACAGGAACATCCATTCCTGTGATGAGCGTCTGGTGTCCCTTTCCTTTTCATTTCTACCTCCTGGCGGTCCTCTTTCCTCTTTTGTAAGCTCAGCTAGATATTTAAAAGTATGTCTATTTTATTTTATCTAGGTGGTTTTTAGCAGGAAGGTTTTTGGGTACCTAGTCCACCATATTGCCCAAACCAGAGCCGGCCTTCTGCCATCTTCAGAGAGTTATAATCTGCCTTTTATAGTTCTCTGATTTGAACATTTAACTTACTGATTTTAAATTTTTCTTTATTTTCTAGTGGAATTTTTTAAGACCATGAAATTTTTCATCTATATAACTATGTCTGTAGTGTTTGACATTATATATATATATATATATATATATATATATATATATATATATTCTTTTAAACTATTTTGTAATTCCCCTGGTCATTTCCTTTGTAACCCATTGATTATTTTATAGTAAAGTGTACTTTTTGGCTACCTTATTTTTAATATTCTGTGTTCAAAGATCATGGTCTTTATGATATCAGTTCTTTGGAATTTATTAAATTTTTCTTTGTGGCCTAATATGCAATCAATTGAACTTTTCATATATGCATGAAAGAAATTTATATGTAGGTGCAGGGCTTTCTTATATATTGTATCAAGCTTGTTCATTGTGCCAAGTTTATCTGCTAGATGTATCCATTTCTAAAAGATTTCTGTTAAAACCTACTGTGGTTTATATCTATTTTGCTTTATAATTTTATCAGCTCTGCTTTATATATTTCAAGGCTATGCTGTTAATGAGCATTATTAAAATCCATGATCATTATCCTCTTTGTGGATGCTCATCAGTATTAATGTCAAATCTACTGGCTTATAAATGTTAGAAATCAGTTTTTTTAATGACCAACTCAAATCCTTCTGTGAGTTGAATCTAACTATGAGCTGCCAGTTTTTTACTCCAGCACAATGTAGAATGTAGGACGAAGAGCTTGTTCTTATCTTCTCTCCTGCTGGTCTGTTGTTTCACACTGGGTTTCTACAGGGACATGGCTTGATCATTTGATGGCACTAAATCCTGTAATTCCAGTCCAAGACAAAGGATGAGCCTTTCCTGATGGTGGCACCAGATCTGAGGAGGTCTCTGCTGATTCCATAGCTCCAGTTTTCCCTATTTGGCTGACACGCCTGATAGTGGGAGTTTAGGGCTGTAAATATTTGCATTTTACATCAAAGATTAAGTTTTTCCTCTGTTTTTCATTTCTTAGATATTACTGGGTCTTGGGGAACAGGGGGTGAAATAAAAATAATCCTTTCTTAATCATTATCAAGTAGTAAGGCCTCCAAATTTCCTTCTTACCCAAAGCCTTCCAGTGGTTTGATTCTCCTGGCAGTGCGAAATGCTTTACCAGTATCAAAAGCTGAATAACAAAAGGAAGATGAATTGTATGTGATAAATAGTGATAGATGTTGCTGCCGATTGTACATTGTTTCATTGCTCTGCAGAATCAATGAAAAACAGTACTGAGTGGGTAAAAGAA